GGCACGTCCCAGCCACTGTCCCCAGCCACAGTCCCCTGCTCCCTGCCAGATTCGCAGCCTACGGTGGGCTCAGCACCTCCCTCATCCATCCCAGGGCAGCGCTGAAAACCTCATGTGCATCACTGACACCCCCGGGAGAGCTTCGTCACTGCGGGTCTGTTGGCTTGTGCATCACCAAGATTGTGCATGGGGACCAGTGTGGTCCAAATGCATCTTACTGGTATCCCCTGGAAAAGCAGCTGTCTCCCAGGAGGCTCCTGCCAGCCATTCCCCGGGAGAAGCAGAGGACCTGGCCTGGATCCAGTATCAAGCCTCTTCCCCTCCCAGGGACACAAGTGCTGCTGCAGATGTGGATGTGGCGCCGGTGACCCTGCAGCACCAAGGACCGGGGACCAGGGCATTTGCGTTCCAGTGAGCTCCACCACGGCAACCCAGAGCCGGCACAGCCCCACAGGATCCCCACAGTCACTCTGTGCCAAGGTCTCACTATTAAGGCTGCAATGTCCTACGTGGGATCTGCCTGCAGGATCCATGTTCCTGCCTCCCAGGATGAGGATGGAAGTAGAGAGTGCATGTCGTGACTGAGACCTGAGGTGTACCTGTCTGGGGCTCCATTTCCTCTCCTCTGTTCCTGTAGTGTCTCTCTACCTTCCACCAAACCATCTGGTCCTCATGGGTGCTGGGGGTGCTGGTTCCTGCACTCTGCTTGGGCAGCAGAGAAACCCAAGGGGCAGAGCAAGTTCATCAGCTGGTTGGAGGCAGGGTTTGCAGACCCAGGAATCTGACCTGTTTCTTTCCCTGGGAGCGCTCTACCCCATGGCATAGCTTTGCTGCAGAAGGACTGATGGCTGCAGCACCCCCAGCCCTCTCACAGCCACTCGAGTCAAATGCTGGTGGCATCCTGAGCCTGTTTTGACTACAATGGCATCTCTATGGTGTTTCCCTGGTCTCCTCCTGGTCCTGGTGCATACCAACCCCATGCTATGGTCCAGCTGAGTCCTGAGCCCTGCTTAGCTCAGAGCTCGAACGCATCTGAAAGCTGTAAGTATAAAGTAGGTATTTTCTGGAGGTCACATGGTAGATTCAGCCTCTGCCCCATCAGAAATGTGTAGCTGGAGTTGCAGCTCTGCCGTACCTCTGTGTTCAAAGGCAAGGGGATATGGCAATGCATGGTGTGTGTGGACCTCCAGGCACAGGGATCTGCACTGCAAATTTGCCCCCGCTTGGGTGCTCCCCACATCCGGGGCCATGTTGTCTGTGCCTGCAGGGTCAGGAAGGAGTTAAGTCTGTAGGGTCTAGCAGAGCAAAGGCTGCCTCCTTTCAGCACTTCCATAAAAAACCCTGTGTGTGGGTCGGGGAAGCCGCTGGCCGGCCCACAGCCGGCGAGAGGCAGAGACAGGCAGCACAGGGCAGCCGTGGCGCGGAGCATTCAGAACATTCCTGCGCCTCCCGTCCGGCGCCACCAGCAGAGCCTGCCACGCCGCAATGTTCACCGTCAATGTCTCGTCGTCCATGTCCTACAAGGGACAGCCGTCCCTGTCCCCTTCCAGGCAGCGGCAAGGCCACAGGAGCAAGTGTGACCAGAGGTACGGGACCAGGATGCTGCTGTGCCTGGTGGGAGGTGCGGGCACGGGGAGAGGAGCGGCTGGGAGAGCCAGGAGGGTTGGGCTGTGCTGAACCTGGGGTCTGAGCAGGCAGGAGCCCACCAAGACCTTCTTGCAAGGCGTCCCACGCTTCTGCCTGTCTGTCTCCTGCTCCTATTGCTCCTTATAAGGTGGTTGCCTGGAGCTAAGTGGCATTCAGCCCATCAGGACTCCCCCACAAGGAAGGATGGTGGGAGACTTTTCCTGGGGTTCTGGCATGTTGTCCCTGGAGGTAAATCCTGCCACCTGAATCTGTGAAAACACCAAACCTTCTCTCTCACACCACCCAAGTGACAGCAGTGATGCTCCAGCTTGGCCCGGGGGGGCTCAGAAAGATGTTTTCTTGCAAGAGTGGCCTGGGAGCACGCTGCAGGGCTTCATACAGTCTGCTTAGGCAAACTGTATTCCCCTGGGTCCTCACTCCACTCATGCCGCCTGAGCCCTGCTCCTTCCCCGGCTGTCACCAGCAGCTGGGGGCGCCGGCTGGGCCAGTCCCCCCCAGTGCCCCAGGGTCCCCTTAGCACAAGTCTGCTGGCATTTTAGGGTCCACACCCTTGGCCAGTGCCGTGCCTGGGGCTCCAGCATCTCTCCTAGCATGTTGCAGAGATCTCCCTCTGCTCCCCAGCAGGTGTGGGGTTGATCGGGCTGCTGAGCTCACTGGCAGGGCCTCAGTCCTTACAGTACCTGCCAGGGCACCCAGGATCCAGCCGGTCGCTGCAGCGGATGTGCTGGTGGCCCCCTGTGTCATGCTGGCTGACAATCACCAGCCTGTGCTAATTGTCTGGTGCAACTCATTCCTTCTTATTTTAACCCAGCGCTTGAGCTGTGAGCTGATGTTGTTCCCATCAGACTTGGGGTTTTTTTCCCCAAACAAAAATTTTGCGATGCTGGGCAGTCTTTCTGCCTTTGCCTGCCTATTGTTTTAGCTGCGAAAGAATTAAGTCATCATTGAAAAATTTAGGACTTCTGTTGAGCTGTGCAGGGCCTGTGGCATGGGGTTGCGTGGGGTTGCAGACACACTTGCTGTGCTGCACGGGTGCAGAGGGGCTTGATCCTGCTTTCCTGGCACAGCAGCACCGTCCTCAATGCCCAGGCTCACAGCATCTGATGCCACCTCGCAGTCCGATGTTTCCATGCGTGATTTCACGGTGGATGCTCTGTCACCATCCGCACTCTGCCTCATGTCACTCGTGCAACTGCCTGCACGTCTCCTGGTTTATCATCAGCCTCCTCGGTGCTGAGGGCTGAGTCATGCCAGGTCGCACTCGGGGTAACTCCAGCTCCACCTGTGTGCCAGGAAGCCCAGGCATGGCTGACCCTGTCACCAGCTTCGCTGCTCCTAACTCTGATGTGTCCCTGTCCCGTGTGTGTGTCCTTCCAGGGAGCCCCGGAAAATCATCCTGCACAAAGGCTCCACCGGCCTGGGCTTCAACATCGTCGGGGGGGAAGATGGCGAGGGGATCTTCGTGTCCTTCATCCTCGCCGGAGGCCCTGCTGACCTCAGTGGGGAGCTGCGGAGGGGAGACCGCATCCTCTCGGTGAGTCGGCGGGACCCTCCGCGGCCCCCCATAGCCCCCTGGCTGGGTGCCCGCAGGACACCCGTCCTCTGCCACCCGGGAC